TTTCGCTTCTCATCCAAGAAGCTTCTTCAACTCTGACTGGATGGTGTCAGAGCCATTCAGTCAGAGCTGAAGAAGCTTCTTGGATGAGAAATGAAATGTCTTCAAAGAAAAATCAGGACGTCCAATTGCCTCTTGAAAAAGCATCTTTGGGACAGCCATTACCTGCATGACTGAATCTCCAGAGACATTTAATATTAAGAATTTAAAACAGTTCAGTTCAGCAGAAAAACAAAAAACCAGACATAGCACAACTTGAAAACAAGAACAACTAGCCAAATGGCTTTAAATGTTGAAACCTTCTTATTGGACAGTAGTATGTATACACAACACTTTAGGCTGATTTTTTGGGTAGAAATCAGCATATGGCCTGTAGTTATATTAAGTAACTCTGGGGTCTCCCAGTGTGATGCCCACAGATAGAGTGGGATACAGGTGTTGATGCTCACTAAGCTCTGTTTTTTAAATGGCTGTACAATGAATGTACAATGGAAGGCAGAGGGAACAAAGTCAAGATAAAACTGCTTATAAGAAGCTGTTAGAGGAGAATTGGATATAATTCTCTCATTCCAGGAACCTCATGTTTATACCTGTTTAAAATTTAAATCAGTTTTGAATTGTTTTTTTCTCAATTTCACTCTCCTTAAAATATGATTTCTAGGGGGGGAAACAGTGCTCAACACATAGCACTTCTATATTTTCAATTTAAGAGTTCAAAAATTGATGTTTGAACAGGGGGCTAATAATAGATGAAGAGATTACAAAACAAAAACCCATTGCATTTGTATTTTCATTTCTTCAGTCACAGCCTCAGAATGAGAACCTTCAAAACATTTGACTTCTACAAGAAGCATCAGAGTGACATGACACCAGCAGGACTGGCGTTTTTTCAGTGCGAGTGGGATACGTCTGTTACAAACATCTTTTATGAGCTTCTTAGTAAGTAATGGATCACATGTAAAATATCGTCAATTTTGCATTTTATTTAGGGTTGAAAGGAAATGGGACTTTTGCTATCCCCCCCAAAAAACCCATATAATTGGGTGGGAGTGGGGTGGAAGCTGTAGTTTAAACCCAAAATTGATAGAAACTGGAAGCTTCCTCTTCAAAAAAAAATCCCTTGATCTGTCACTCTTTTATAGAGCCTGTTTTGTGTAATTGGCACTGAAATAGTATGGCAGAGAACTTGCAAATGTACTCATAATTAAGCATGTGGTAAATATGCATGGAATAGAAACTGCAAGTGGGAGCCATGTTTAATGGGGTGCTGGGGGGAGTCGTTGAGCATCTTATTCCTAAGACTTCTAGGAGTTGTTTTGACCCCCTCCTCCATCCAGTAACGAATGCCGAGACAAGCTTAGCTGGAATTCCACAGCACTTTATTAGCAGGAAACTTAAATCTCGATGGCTGAAAGCACAAGCATAACAAACAGTTAAGAACCTTGGCAGCAACTCAGACTTCGACAGAGACAGATAACAGTTTCTCCAGCGTTAAGAATGAAGTTGAATCCTGCAAACCAGACTCCTCCCAGAGTCTCTCCTTAAATACAATCTTGAGAGGAGCCTAATTACAACTACCTGGGTCCACAATTATCTTTTGTAACTGCGTAGCTGTTCTCTCCGTCGATCGTTGCCTGGCATCCAGGACCATCTCCCTTGTCTCCTCATCACTATTCCAAGGCATGACGTCAGGAGCACACTCACTTCGACTTTCACCGCTGCTCCATGCCTCAGGCGCCTCCTGGTGGCCAATCAGCCTCTCTGCGCCCTGCTCGGAGTCGGAACCCTGTCTAGGGT